TCTCTCTCTCTCTCTCTCTCTCTCTCTCTCTCTCTCTCTCTCTCTGTCTCTCTCTCTCTCTTTACTCTCCTTGCATTAAAATAATTCCTGAAAGTGAGCTTGCGTAATATAGAGTTTGACCATAAATCAACAAGTAACCTGTTCGTGTAAGCTCGTTAATCCGTAATCTTTTTTTATTCCAACGTCTAATCTTGCAAGGAAAGGGCTTTTTTTCATAATTTTGATAATGTTTAGAATGCATAATTGCTTTCTTGAAATAAATTTGTTCAATCATTCTTCGAAAGAGCATAGCTGATTGATGAGACGAATGATAAAAAAACTGAAAAGAACATTCAGAATATTCATTTGATATTTCTCTCACCTACTAATTACCCATTCATTTGATGACAAAGATTTTTCCCCTCTCGGAGAATTCTCAGTCATTATCCAGCTTTCTGACAGAATGTTCAGAGCGACGCCTTGGTGTCTCATTTCATTCATGCCATATGAAGCCATCAACTATTAGTCCACACTTTAAATTATCGAAATTTCTAAAATAGAAAAGTTCTTATTACTCTCCTAAAGAACATACATACATTCGATTGATTGCTGAAATCATTGTCTCATAATCCATTTGCGTATATGCCTCAGATGAATCTGATGTCTGAAATAGCCGAGAACTAAAGGCTAGGTAATAATGGTCGTTGTGAAAGACATACGATTCTATGCCTTCCTGTTCTTCTCTCCGATATGCTCTCATTGGCCGCTACATTTCTCCTACTGTGATGGCTCCAAATTGAATTTATACGTGTTTGAGTAAAACAATTGTCGGCTCACCTTTGAATATGTATCCATCTGATTCCTCTTGTCATTACTCGTCTGTTCATAGTATACTCGTATTAATTCAAATGTTATTTCAGAATGTTTTATGCCTGTTTAGCTATCTTGCTACTGTTTATCATTATGTGTTCATGTGTTACATTGGCCATAATAGATCTTGAAATGTATAATTTCGGTCTTTATATAGTCCTGTTATGTATTGTTGGTAAGTTGTTTACGTTCAATTATACCGATCAGCCCAAACACCTAAATTCAAAGCATACAAATTCCCAGATAGCATCAAGTCTCTTACATCGCATACTCCATCTCGATGTTTCGATAAATATCGTTTGTTCCAGGAACTATGCTGGCTTGTGCTCTATGCATAGCAAATCCAGGTGCATGTCCGAATCCTGGTTGGTATACCCGATTTTGCATTTTATTACATGTAAGTCATCTACTTGTTTCTTGGAAATGGGAAGGAAGTTGCTTTTCTCTAAACAAAGGCTGAAATAGAAACAATAACGTCCACTTACTCTTCAACTTCAAGTTCTATTTCTATTAGACTAAAAGTTCCGCTGTCGTGTCTCGTTGACAAGACTTTCTTTGGCTTCATTCTAAGCAATTAGTTGAGCAGTCAAACGAAATGGCTCATGATGATAAACGAAGCTAGTCAAACGACTCGTTTCTCTTTCTCATCATGTCGAGATTGAACTTACCAAGGTAACTTCCTTCACTGCTCATTTGCATAATTTTGAAGAAACACTTCCACGTATGAATATGGATGAGAGTAACGAGCAAAAAGTCATTAAAACAATAAGGGATCTTGTCTGTTATTCCCCCCGCCGGCTCCGCCCCTTTTGCCGTTTGCGCATGGTCTTAGTTTCTGTAGGGAAAATGAATGAATGTGAATAACGGACAAGAGCCACAATAAGTTGACACATCTATAAACCACTTTGTTGCCTTGAAACACATTTTATTCAGAGTCGGAATACTTAAATCTGCTGAATTGTAGATAAAGGAAACTATAGATAGCTTAGATGAGTCCGGATACACATTGACTACGATTCTATTCTTCGCTCTAATCCTTGTTGAATTCTCGAAACGCCAAAGATTTCAATGTTGCTCAATGAAATATACCCTAGTAAAGCAAAAGAGATAAAGCTATCAATCCGAGTCATCTTAAAAGAAATACAATTCATTTAGTTGTTGAAAGCTAACTGACTACCTTGCAGGAACACATACAGGAGATGTATCCGATACCAGCGGATGGTACATCTTCTCCCAAGATGACTGGGTTAAGAGCGCGAATGCAGGCACACGCTCAAAGTTTTGCAACATCGGAAGACGGTCAAGCTCGGGCTCCTCTTAGGTTTCGAAGTCTGCTCTTTAATCATCAGGAAACTTTGTTTCAGGCAAGAATCGCGAGCGACTGTAGCTATGTTAGCTCCAGCTGTTCACATTATGCATCAGGTAAGACTTGATTTGCTAAATTTTAAAACTTTATTACATTTTACAATAATAATATTACTCAGGTATGGAAAGGAATGGCTTGGGTGACTGACGGAATCGAAGAAGAGGACGACACCAGAGCATACGACAAGCTGGAATTGGTAAATTTGATAGAGAAATATGAAAAATAAAAAAGCACAACCGGATGAGCGTCTACAAAACTTTGAAATGAGATGCTCTAGCATCTATACGCGCAACCAATCGCAAACAAAACTTTTATGTTAATTTTTGGATATCAAGCCAAACAATAGCTACCAGATGTGTAATACTTCTTTTGCAGGGCAATTCCGATGAGACATCTGAGAGTGCGCGTGCTAAACGACTCTCAACTATAGTCGAAAGTTCATCTTTCAAAGAATATGTAAGATTTGTATTATAAAATGAGCATGAATAAAATAATATTTTTTGCAGGAAGAAGAAGATGAGACGAGTAGTGAAATTAATTCGTTGAATGATGTCACTTTATGAAATTTCGAATCAAATAGGCAAATGTATAGTAGAGATATAAGAAAAAACAAGACCAACTTCATATGCTCATATCTGCACATGTCGGGTTTTCACTTGCAATCAAACATTGGAGTAGCTTTATTCTTCTATTTATGTATATTTTCGTTAATTCTCTTATTCTGGAGACGGGTTTATTATGAACATTATCAATTAATAAACATCTACTTGTATCAACTATACTTATCGAAGTGAATTCTTCTGAGAACTGAGAAACCTCTAGATCCTGAAACATCTGATGGGCGTTCGGCTCAACTGGTTACACGATGTTGATCAGACCTCTTTTTCAATCAGTAGTATATCCTAATAATTATGCAGAAACTTGTTGTAATCTAGTAGTTGACACTGTGCCTCTTGATATATAAGAAAGGTTGGGATGGCATCTTTTACATATCTCCTCTCTGCGAAATGGTAAGTCAGATTGTATTCTTAGAAACTACTCTCAGTTTTCACAGTTGCATCTAGCCTTTCTCCTCTTATTACTCTCAGCGCCGTCATTAGCTTGTCTAGGAGGATCGACAAGTTCTGGTTGCTGCAGCGGAAGTTCAGGATGTGGTAGTGGAATAACTTGTGGCGGAGGAAGGTTTGCACAGGCCGCATAGAAGAGAACATATGAATCTCATTTTTTCAGTTATGCCTTACCACCTTCTCTTCCAATTCCGAACCAGTACGCTGTACCCGTACCTCAACAGAATCATTATGCTCAAACAGGGAACCATTATGGATAACACCGATGGAATATATTTATTCAACATAATGTGTGTAGTGTTCATCTGAATAATAATAAAGTAGTTGTGGCAATTAGAGTCTGATACGACACAATGAGAGAGAACTACATATATCCTCAGGAGTTTCATGGATTTTCAACTTTTCAATGATGAATTTCAAATTCTTGGCTACTAACTTAACGCACATTCCTGACAGCACTTCTGGTACTTCTTCGTTGCAGAACTTTTCAACAGCCTGAAGTCAAAATACAATAGACTGAGAGAGTAGTGGAATGAAATTACCGCTGGTACATCTTCACCATCATCGATAGCTTTCTTTACAGTTCCAATAACAGTTACGCACATGTCGCATAATGGCTTCTTGAGTTCTTTAGCTTCACTGTCGACTGGTAAGGAGATGAGCAATAGAGCTCCGAGAGCAACGAAAGCAACAGCACGCATCATAATACTAAATAGAGAGAATGAAAAATAAAAATGAGACGGAACGACGTGTAACAAAAGTTTGACAATGCAACTACAGAACGTATTCATAAGTATAGTACAAATCTTCAATGAAGTGACGGGACTGTCGTTTGTTAGTCATCTATGTTGACTTATGACTACCCTTATATGGTGGTTAGCCGTTTACCCTTTCGCCTCTTATTGGCTCATTTTGACCCCCTAAATAGTCAATAATCTCTGCAATCACTGCTAATAAGCTACAATATTGATTACTCGTCATCTAATTGAATGAAATTTGAGAAAAAAAATAAATTCATCGCAGCATATTCCAACAAATTTTATAACAATAACAATCGCGATTGCCTAAATCTAGAACTATTCCGATTCTGTACAACTAACAGCAAATACAAAAACACTGAGAGAGAGAGAGAAATCAACAAGAACTTCCTCTGTTAACAGGCGTAGTTTGTGTCGGACCGTAGGTCACCCTCGTAGTATTTTTTCAGCTCTTCGCGGGTAGGACCAAAGATTTTCTTATCCGCCAATGAGACTACAGACCCTGCTGGTATGCCATGAAATATCTTAAACAAAGCGAAATATAAACAATCAGATGATGCTGATCTTTCACCTGGTTAGGAGATTTAGTTTCACCGACAAGCTCTGCAGTATGATCGTAACCCATTACCAACGACAGTTTTTTTCTCATTTCATTGATTTCTTCATCTTTTGATAGATATCCACGATTCAAGGGACTCAAATAATATCTGAAACTCTTTTACTTTGAAGGCACTTCTAAATCTATCCACATACTCTAATAAGGAGGTTGGTGGGGCTCGTCTTGGAGGTACTGGGAGGCCTTTTTTGAACCAACTCTGGGGATCGACAGCAGCCTAGTTGAATGAAGTATGTATGAGCAAGTAGTAGAGGAATACCTCAAGAGACTGGACATCATAATAAGCTGTGCGAATACGTCCACCAGCTTTTTCAACTGCGGCGATTGCTGATTGAGAAGCATATTGAACTTCGATATCGATTTTGTGAGTGAAGTCATCGGCTCCCTGGTATAGTTTAGTGTGAGAGGATGCTCATGTAGCTATTACTTACTTCGGCTGTGAGATCAAAACCATATTGGCGTAGTCTAGGCTGGATGTTAAACTTCTTTGTCCTGCATAGAGCTGCAACATCGATTGGCTGCGAAGGGTCGACCCATCCCAGATCGATCAAACGTGATAACTCAATTAAGGACAGAGGTTGATATTCTCTTCGTAAGCTAAAAACTAACGACTTTAAAATACTGATGCAACTATATACTTTATGTCTGCGTTGAAGTGTCTCTCTCCAGGGAACATACGCTGCCATGGCCTGAAGAAATCTCCCCAAATCCATCCGAGAGGTGGTTTAGCCGCTCTCTCCAGAGCTCCTTGTGTATGACCAGCCTTCACAGAAGTATATAAACAAAGAACATGCATATTCACGGACTTGATTAGTTCCTTTTCTGACTTGACGCCCTGTCGTACGGGCTCCAATATTATCTCTCAAATCCTGGAGCTTAATCCGAGAGGATTTCTCAACAAAGCGTAGAGCACGCTCTGTTGCCGAAACCGCCTTCGACATGGCAATGCTGAAGAGGTGATGAAAAGACAATGATAGAGAGAGAGAGATAATGATGGTTGAGTGAATGACCAACTTAGATTCAGAAAAACATAGGAAAAAAGGTTGAAAATCTTATTCAGGTCAAATATAATTACAAAATGTTAAAATTTAAAAATTCTTTGAATCGAAGAATGTAAGCTCCAAACCAACACCACATTGGAAGTGACAACGGCTAATTATGCAAGGAAAATTGTAAAAAAAAGAAAATATTTTAAGTTAAAATACAAAGTAGGAACACGTTTAACTGGTCACAATATTACTCGTTGAACTCGAATGGTTGGCTCCGTAAGTCTACTCGAAGACTTGGTAGGCGAGGGTAGATATTCCTTGCTTCTTAGTGATGAAGAAGAATATACCAGCTCCTGAAAAACACGAAATCAGATACAACAAAACGAACTAAGACTTACCTATAGCACTTCCTATGATGAGAGAGAAGATACCCAAGACAAACATGGAACCTCCGGTGTATCCTTGGTAAGGAGCAGGTTGTGGAGGTGGGGCAGGTAAGGGGTACCGTGCTAACGAAGAGGACTTGGCCAACCAAGTCTACAACAGAGCAGTTGAAATGTTATACCTTAATATGATTACCTCAGTTTTCTTATCCTCAGTAGGAACATCGAATTGCCAATCGTTGGAAGCAAAGGTTGAGTTCAGCAAGTTGAATAACACATCAGTAGTAACCTCAGCCTCAAACCAAGCCATGAGTTCGGGTAAAGAAAAAAAACCAACTGTGTAGTTGAACTTTCCAGTCTCGGCAGGTACTTTCTGATTCCTATCGGCTACAGTTAAGAAAACACCTAAATCGCCGGAGGGGAGTGGAGACTGTAATTATTTGAATGTTTCGACAACTGAAAATCAAGACTCACGAAAAGAGCAGAAACTCTCAGAGGGTTGATCAAAGCGACTTTAGACAAACCAGCAGCTAAAGCTGAAATGAGAGTGGATTCCCCAATTGCGAGAACATCTGCCATTTTCTCTGGAAACAAGAACATGATTATGATCATGAGACGTTTACTTACTTCCTTTAACAGCGAAGGTGAAAGTGTTATTGCCTGAGGAAGAGTCAGCGAAGCATTCGCGAGATCTCTCAACGGCTACAGTTATAGGTGGAAGGGGAGCCAAGGTGATTTCGACTGAAGAGTCGATAACATTCTGGAGAGCAGATAGATGTCAAGCATGAGCGAATGTATGAGTATTAACCTTGGTTGTTTTAGTGAAGGTCCATTGACTTTTTCCAATATGAACCTCCAAGACAGATTCTCCGTCGGCTGCTCTCCATACAGTTAACTCTTCTCCATTAAAATGACTGATCTAAAAAACCGGAAAGGGTTCGAATTTTCGAAAGGAGACTCACACTTCCATATTGTCCCCAAGCCAAAGACTCATTGACGAAATGCTCGTTGATCGGTCGGATAGAAATAGGAGAATTTTTCAGAACATCCGCTGAATCTGCAGGAATAGCTGCGAGTGACGCACATTTTCCGGAAGCAAGGGAATACTCATACCCTGAATTTACAAATAAAGAAAACAGTCCACAAAAGAGGGACAAACCTGAATTGAAATCATGAATAACAGACATAACATTATCACTAGTTGTTTTGGTGTTGAAGAAAGGAATCTGTTCTCCGCTCTTCAAACTATCAACACACACTGCAGTTGTAGACGAGGTGTTTGAATAATAAACCTGGCATTGAACTCATGTATTGAGAAATTACAAAAAGTAAAAACCTTAGCTCTAATTACAGAATCTCCTTTCTTGTAGGTAACAATACCACTGAATGGTTCAGGAAGGGTTAGAGGAAGCTTAACAGATGGCCATCCTTCACACACTTTTCCGTTGGGAACATCAAAGACGGTACTATCCTGAGCAGGTGAATATGTCTGGATTTCGAATGAGAATGATGTTGTTGGTTCGGTAGAATCTTGAAAAAAATGAATAAAAATTAGGAGAATTGATTGAACATACTGATGTTGGGAAACTCAGATAGGCGGAAAAACAGAACAAGGGGGTTCTTGAAAGCGGCGGATACTGGTTTGATAGATAAATCGCCAGTGAAGATCAATTCGACCTGAAGCTCCGATTTATTCAAGCTTGGAATAGCAACAAACCTGAAGAGGTGGATTGGTATCATTGACACAAGTAATCCATTGAATTCCTTCGACTCCAGACATAATTCGAGTTGAAAGCTGAAACAGAATGTGAGAAGCTGTTACTTGGTAAGAAAAATACCATGCTGCCTTTATAATTCTTAGCTGCAATTTTTTTGACCAGATCAGCAATTGAGTTACCATCGGCACCTAATCGTTTCAAAATAGCATCATTGAGTTGGAAAGGCTTATACTCCTTTTGGACGGAACAAGAGTTGGCTAAATGATAAGCAAATGTCAAATCAAAGCGAATTCCTATTAACCAGTGTTATTGATCAGGATGAATCTTCCTTGATCTGAGATGTATTGCAAATCAGTACCATCTCTATCGCTAACTATAAAGGTATATGTTCATAAGTGAAGGAAGGGTACTCAAACTTATTGTAGTTTTCCTGTCTTTGTCCGAAATTTCAATAACGGATTGGGTCGTTTTTGTGGCCCAATCTGTTAAAACCGTTGTAATCTGCAAAATTCATGTTGTATGATCAAACAATAGGACAAAATATACTTTGTAAGATCCTGAAAAGGCATCAATCAGCTTCTGATCTAAGTCCTTGATTGGTACAAGGCTTCCATTACAGAAGTTAGGAACAGATCCTAATCCCCAAGTTAGAGAAAAGGTCGAAAGTAGTAAAAGCAAAAGCCTCATAGCTAAAACAATTGATTTAAGAGATGATAAGAGGATATACGATTGAAGTTGTTCGGTTTGAGAGAGTATTCGTCATTATAGAAAAAAAAACAAAGTAGGTCCGCAAACTTGCGTCTGCAACATACAGTAGCTTACATATGTAATAACGTAGTAAGAGTAAAGCTTTGAAAAAAAGAGATGATAGTATTTCTGCACTAAAAAATAGTTAAGAAGTTCAAAACGTCTATGACATCAATAGCAATCAAGATGTACAACATGACATAGAACATGCTATTGATAAAACTTAAATTTCGCAAACCATATGAAAGAACATTGAATGAGAGATTTCGCCGAACAGCGGTTGCAATTGAACGCTAAGAAGTTCATGTGAATTTGATTTGACGTGTTTCACGTGAGTTACGTGTTTTCACTTATAGAACATGACATACGCGCAGAACGGTTGCTTTTTAATAAACTCTCAAATTTGTGGTATAACACTAACGGTCATGTGGATTTTTTTCCATTTATTTTTCATAAAACTGTTGTTTGCATAATATAGAACGATAGAAAGGAGTTTTTACAAATATTTGAAGCAACGATTAGAACAATGCTGGAGATGGAAAGTGACGAACGAAGAAAGTTACTTGGTAGTGATACTGATTACGGCGTTCGTACGCACTTTCTAGACTGTGAAGAGAGAAGTAATCAAAAAAGGAACAGAGATTCAAAAGTTGAAAGCTCCTATGATCAGTTCACAATAAAACGTCACACACACATGAAAAACATAAACTTGTTTACACTATGGAGACCTTTTAAGACTTGCAGAAGAAGGTTCGAGATTTGAACGCAAATAGAAAAGCGTGAAATGCGCTATGTTGCTAACTACCGCCCAATAAGACTTGTTTTCTTTTCTGCTAATTGTGGGCAATTGGACGAAAGAGTGCTCCATTGAGCTCGACCCGATGTTTGTGGAACTGTTCGGAGACTGCACGAGAGGTGTGGTACTTCTTTAAGACATGTTGCACTTATCGTTACTATATAGGTGAGTTCATATGTCACACATGCATTGCATTGAGTTGGAGCTAGAAGTATTCGATACAGTTGATAGTTTTCATTAATTCATTAAAGTTATGACAGAACAAGGAAAAATTCAACAGTAACGATAACATCAACAAAAGTAAAAACATCTCATCACTTCTTGGATGCTTCCCGTTTAGCTTTAAGGAATGCCAATCGTTTTTTATCTTCTTCAAATCTGCTTTGGATATCGCTTTCTGGAAAAAAAAATCATTTTTAAGAGCATTAGGAGGTAACCATACGAGTACTGGATTTTGTATTATCACCGTAGAAATTATGATCATACTGAAATAAAATTTGGTTCTGAAGTAATAAAGTATCAACTCACCTTAGCTTTCGATCTTTTGGACTCGATATCTTTCTTCTTGGGAGCGGGATTAGCCTGCAAATAAGCAATGAGCTTCTACTTTGATCCGAATAGTGAACTTACATATTTTCCTCTGGACACAATTTGGAAACCGTCTTCATCAAACTCGGGAGATTTTCTTCCTCTTGGTCGGGCCTTGAAGTAATGTTTTTAAAAGAAGTAACAAATGTAATATTTACTCTGGTTTCATCCATTTGAGCTATAGCTTCGTTAACAAACTTGGAAATAGTACTTTCTGAGCAGTGGACTGCTCGATAATTTGAGATCATGACTGAAAAACATAAGTGAGTTCGGAATTACAACAATCCTACTCTACCTGATAAGTGGTCTTCAGGTTTCTCTTCCGAGATATCTGATAGCACAATAGTGCCGTGGAACTGACATCTGAGTAATAGTTTGTGTGTTGATTCTGCACAAGGCATTTCTACCGACAAACACAAGAAACCCTGAAAAATGTTTCAACTACAATCACCGAACACCGGAGCAACACACATTTGCATTGACATCATCTGGACCATTCTGACAGAAAGAGCTTCTCTTCTTTATAATGTTGACAGGTTCTTCTCCTGAGATGGTTTTGAAAAGTGGTTTCAGGATTGACTGAAAAGCATTTTGTGAAATGAATAACCTCGAAAGTGATATACCAATGGCATGTATGCTGGATAGTTGTAAACGACGACATGATCTTCCTTTATGGGATGACGCTTCAAAAAAAGAGTTCGAAAAGCTCGATCTGCTTTGGTTAGCCGATAGCTGATATCTGGAATATTAATACATGTTCGAAGAATCACATATATACTCACATCGAACATTTGAAAGTAGTTCTACACAAATTTCCGAATCCTTTAAATCCAACTTTTCGTGGGCAGACATCCTGCTAGACTATCTTCAACACGGAAGCACTTTATTACGTAAGATCTTTAGTATAATTTATCCGAAATCATGCATAAAACCAGAATATATAAAACATTTACTTCAAATGAAATTTTATTTCAACCTTCCGTGATTAGGGAAAACTACACGCTGCGTACTTTACGTACGCACCATTGCAATTTCATTTTGATATGAAAGGGACGAGGGAACGGTTGCACTTCTGGAACCTCCGAGGTGAAAAAATGAAAAACTCAAAAGTTTTGGGAGAATTTACGTTTTTTCATACAAAGTTTTTTTTACGTGAAAAAGATTTATTATAGGCTTAGAGCACATGCTTCGTAGAAAATATTTAATCGTCAGGTAACGTTATGTACAGGTAAATCTTGAAACCTCTGAACTTCATATATTTGAAAACTACTGAAATCTAAAAATTGTACATGAGAGTTGAGATCAACAAATAGCTAAGTTTAAAGCGCCGGCAACTGGTCAGAATTCTTTACAAATCTATAAGAAGGTTATAACTAAGGAACCGAAACAAAAAAAAAATGAAAAATTAGAACGTGCGATGTGATTCTAAAAAGGTAGGTGCGAAGTATTCATCGTGTATTTTCAACTGCTCTCGTTTGATAGATATTTGTTGAGCAGTTTCATATATGGAGTTTCTTTCATCTACTAGTGGTAGAGACAGAACACGCGGCTGCTTCCTTAAAATGTCTTTTGAACTTGATCGTTTAGATGCACTTCATACTTCTTCTGCTTATTATCAGGAAACATTTGTGTTAGTGTTTCGATCACATCTGACTCCTGCATTCCTGTTCTTTTCATGATTGCTGAAGATACACATGAAGCTATAAGGTTTTGAAAGGAGGGTAGTACATGAAATCGTATTATCCATCTTGTCTTGCATGATATCCGCAGATATCTGGATGAGTGTTTCATACCAGTATGATTTGTACGCAATTTCGCCCAAAGTGGAGAAAGGCCTCTCAGGTCCCCCTGGACTCTTTTCTAATCTTGATAATGAATAACCTGTGAGGAAATATGTTTTAATTAATTTTGCTACTGTCTTACTAAAATCGATTATGAAACGACCGAGTCCTTGCTTCTGGAAACAAGGAAACACACAGAAACAGCATAAGTTATGATTCTCTCCATTCTCGCGTTGCTGGAACCATAATAGAGAAGTTCGGAAGGAACTAACTAACCTTGCTAAAATAGCCCAAAGGAAGAAAGTTCCCTTCGGCATTTGGTCGAGCAACTACATAGTAAGTGAAAGGCTCTACATCCAAGTAGACTACTTTGTCTCGCAGCCAAAACATTGTCAACAGGGAGAGATTAGAGCAGTAAATCTGATGAAATAGACAATTGAATGAGCAACATATCCAAGACCAACTGATTCTTTGTCTCCTTGTACGAGGAAGATAGAAAGAAAGTTTTTCTTATCCCTATAAATTTCAGGCCCTGGTGGCATTCTGAGTAACGTGCATTTTGTCTAGAAAAGCCAGGAAGTCATGATTGTATAGTAATGTGTTACATACTTGATGCCGTGCTAGAGCTTCTCCGGTAGCAAAATATTGGAAACAAGATCGACACACATATATTTCGTTCAGTAAAGCATAGCGGGGAGGATAGGAACTTCTGAAGAAAACATGACTTTCAGCGTAAGCACGGGTCACTCACTTGTACAACGTCTGTATCCTGTAGTCTAACCCAAAGTTCACAAAGTTATTCCTACCCGTTTTGGACAGAGTTGATTTTTTCTGCAGAGAAGACTAGGCCAGTTTAATGGGGGAGACTAACCAAATAGGTACCACGAGCCTCACTCGCTTCCTGAATGCCTTCCATAGTCAGAGAGCCATCTGTAGCATGAACCAGATCACTTTCAGAAACTTGCAAATCATACGCCTGATTGAAATAGTCCTGAATAAGAAAATTGAGAACAGTTGAATGAGATGGCAACACCTTAACAATACTTAAGGTTGGAATAGGTTCCACCCTGTGTCTCTTCTTCAAAGTCAGAGCCTTTCTCTTTCTTCTCCTTCGAGTTGTAGAAGGTCCAGCCACAGTTACTCGACCCGAAGCTGTAGGAGTTTGATTGTTATCACATATCTAAGAGCGTGATGAGATAAACAAGATCTTGAAAGTAAAAAGTAACTGTGTCGTCCAGGTTATCCTCCTCTGGCATAGGCTCCTCTGACAATCTTTTAGGCTGTAAGAAAAACACGAGAGGTTAAGCATTATCAATCCTTGATTACCACAGGAGTAGATTCATATGGGATGTCCAGACCATCAAGTCTTGGAGTATGTAAGTTCTTTAATATTAGGTTATTGGTGAATGCTAAATACTAGTGAAAGCCAACCTCGGTATCAAAATAAATCTGATCACTAGTTTTATTGAATGAGTCGTCGGAAGTGATCGAATAATTCAAGGCACAAATGCTCTCATCCAGATCTTCGTTCTAAAACGGGAACAGATTAGGAGGAGATCTTGAACAACCAAATACCTGTTGGTTATGACTTCGGAAAACTTTAGCTGGAATTCTACGTAGGACATGACGAGGTGATGTCTGGGAATAATCCTGGAACAAGAAAATGAACCAAAGTGATCGAAGTTTCATAAACCATAGACGCAGATGTTTCTTTTGAGAACCCAGTGTCGCTAACTTCGTGATCCTGTTGATAACAATCCTAAAAAAACAATAGAAAAGGAGGAATTCGAGAAAGAACTGACTGAACGGGTTGGCGTTTGAAGTAGTTGCGCTTTGTACTCTTCCTTCATCTGAAAAGGTTGTATAAGAAAAGCCGCAAAAACAAATTTACCGGCGTAAACCCTGGGATATCTTTCAAAGTATTATCCATTTCGTCCACTGAAAATTTTTTTAAAGGAAATATGAGAAGCTAGTTCAGTTACCTGTTTCTTCTGCAAAACCGTCTGGTTCCAAAGTGAGCTGAATAGCTCGCTCGAAACGTTGAGCACAGGTTTTCAAGCTCGACGCTTGAGTTGGGCTGTCTTGTGCCTCGATTGAACGAGCAATAGAAACAGACTTAGAGCTACGGCCGGAGACGTTCTCTTTGTTCACCTCGGAAAAACATAAGTTCGATAAAGAACTCGGATAACTGTTGTTATCACGGATGTTCCGATTTGCTGTAACTTTGTTCATAGTGCTTGATTTTAATTCCTGATAATCCGGCGGGAGGCTGGATTTCAGATTTGACATTTCCACATATGTCTGTTGAGATTGAGAGCAAGCATCAGGAATGGGCCAACAAGGTGTGCTAGGCGACACAGAGCGCGTACTTTGGCTTACTGCTTCCAATTCCATTTTTTCTCCGAAGATAATGCTTTTATATTGGCGGGAGTAATCGAGATTATCCTCTTCGAGCTTCATCTCCATTGAGTGTTGGTATTCCTCTCTCGGTTCTTCACACGGATTACACTGTAAAGGACATCAGATGTTATTTGAGATGAGATATAGCGTACGTGATCATTATCATAATGAATTGAAACGTGGTTTGTATTATGTGGAACTCTCATGCTGGAAAAGATATTTAGAAAGTTGTCTACCTCCCTGACTATTACCCTAGATGGTCTGTCATCATTCCCACAGTGCTCAACTCTGCGTAATCTTCATATTTCGACTCATTAGGAAATCTATGAGATGACAGTTACGGTATAGCAAATGATAAGTAGTAGATTACCTGTATCCTTTGTCGTCTACAACATTGTGGACTTCGTTGTGTTGTTCGCACACCGCTTGTAAATCAGCTAACGACTGGAAGAAGCCTCCTTCAATGATAATTTCTTTAAAAGGTACAGCATTTCTATACATGTGATTAGATCTGAAAATAGCCCAATTAACGTTCCTCCATTCTCTAATTAAACGAATAAGAGGAATGAGGGGGTGAGCAGACGGGTGAGGTGAGCTCAACGTACAGCATCACAATGGCAGCAATTTCGAGAACAATTATGACATTTCAAAATAAATTAATTAGTTAATTAATAGATACCCCCTCAACTCATATACTTTCCGAATATTTCTGTCAATTGTATCCCAAATGTAAAATCTCAACAATGTTCGCAACACGATCAGAACTTTGTTTTGCACTAATTACGACTACGATCTTTCGTTATCCGCAATTTGAATTTATTGATTGACGACTTCTTCTAATCGATAATACTCAATCGAGCGCAATTATTCGCATTATTTATTACTTTGACTTTCAATGAGTAAAACAATTTGTGGAGATAAACACAAAAACAATTCAATGACATGCAGATCAAACGAGATTTTAAAGAATTTCATTTTCGGATTTCTAACTTGATTTGCTGTGTTCAATGATTGTCGACTGCTTCTACTTTATCTATGATACAGTCGTTTTCTAATTCCTCAGAACGTATTTGGACCATTGTATCGTCTTCCCTAAAACTTCATCATATACATGCTTTTTACAACGTTCACTGTTGTCAGTACCTCACACTTGCATAAGAGACACGTTGTGGTCTTTTCGGAAGAGGTTTCTCTTCTGCTAGAAGTTTGGCATTCAAGTCATCGATGTTGCTTGACTTATGCACGTTAGGTGTTTCAGAAGACGATGCTCCTGACGAGATATTCATTGAAGCCATACTAAGCCTCAGAGATGGGTTAGCAGAAGCTACTTCTCCCCAGGATTCGCTATGACCTGAACACGAGAACTCTATTTGTTGTGTTGTTAACTGATAAGTACCGTGTCCCAAAAATTGGAAGACTATTCCGGAAACGATAAGAACCACGGCTAGTAAATAGAATACAAGTTCCCATTCGTCGATTGTTCCCTGCAACGAGTTTTGATAATATTTTGATTGGAAAGTCAACCATTCACCTTTGTTGTCATGTAGCCGAGCAGATATGGAGCAATCGTGCTGGCAGCTTGAGAATAGATTTGTGAATAAGACGAAACAAACGCCGTAAACTGCAAAGCAGACTGTTTTCACCAATCTACACACATTGCTCTATACCTGAGGTGCTACGGTAACAATACTTGTATTGTAGCCAGCCACATAGCCCGACAACATGCCCATAGATGCCGTCATCAGCAGCATTATCAACAAGCTATCTTCAGCGCCTAATAAAGAGATTAAGAGAATGCTTGTTGCAGTTCCAAAACTAGCTGAAAACAAAGGTATTATGGGTATGAAACGTTTTCAAGGAAAACCGATGGCGTTACACCATTTGGTGATGGCGCTAGCTGATTTTCCGCGTTTCTTCAACTTGTCAGCAACTGTACCGAACAGTATCTTTGTGACCATTTGGAGGCAAAAAGGAACAGTAGACCAAATACCATTCTGAAAAGGTGAAGCTATAGTCAGTAGTAATAATGATGCAATTGAATGCAACCGCTTGACACGTCATCAGAGGTAAGAATGAAAAAAATTAGCATAATGAGAAATGACGCAGGGCAGTTTAAAAGGCGGCGGAAGAAGAATTCAAATATACTTTGCTGATGCTCATTTGAAGAGCTGATTGATAATAAGCAGGTAAATAAGTAATTAATCCAACAATTATGAATGATTGAGCAAATGAACAGACACAAATTGCCGTAACACATGCAGACATGAAAATCTAAAAGCAATCATTGTATGAGTAATATCAGTCAATGTGTATTGTTCAAACTTTTTTGTAAGGTGTAGGTAACATGATGGTGTTAGTCCTTTTTCGTTTTTCACGTTTTCCCACAATATATTCCAATTCGGAAGCCGTTATATATTTGGAATTACGTGGCTTATCAGTTGCGAACAGTAGCCAGAAGAGAAGAAAAACAAATCCAATTAATCCTAATTAGGAATGTTGATAGAAATGTCTTCTTTTGGATTAAAAAAAATGGCTTCATACCATATGAGAAGAAGGCCAATGGCCAACCTCCAATCATTCCTTCGAATTCACAAAATTTAGCTGTAGCACCCATTGAAACAGCTATTCCTACTTGATTGCCTAGAAAGGAGCAAATGATGATAAAGCAATAAAAATAACAAATTGACACGGAACCTGTGGTGAAGATAGCCATAGCTGTACTTTTTTCCGAAATAGGAAACCATCTCGCAATCATCACAGAGCCACATGGAATTACAAAACCTTAATTTCATTTGTAATCATTTTGTATTGACGGTCCACCGAACCGCTTCCTAATCCCATTATGAAACGTAAAAACATTACATAATAATAAGAATTCAGAAAAATGACTGCGAAAGGGATTGCCAGAGTACCAACTACATTCAATAAGATTCCAAGACTCATTATTTTCTTAGCCCCGAATCTAGGAAGCAATAAATCAAGTTGTGGGTATGGTTATGAGCATACCGTCCGATTAGATTTCCAGCGACAAAAACGGAAACTAAGGCTCCTGCATAGAATGACGTGTGAATCTTGGCTTGATTTTCAACACTCCAATTAATCTTATAGGGCGACTGAAACATTTTTGATTTGATTAGGAAGACGTGCACATCGTTACCATTGACTTTGTGTAAGTGCTATTGAAAGGTCTGCAAGACAACAAGTTTGAATTAGATCGTTAAAGGTGTTGCAACTAACTGTTCTACCATACAAACTAAAGCCATCGATAATGACCCTCGTATTGCGGCAAAGACTGCCATAGCCGAAGCTATTAGAATTAATATTTGAAATCGAACAGCTGAACATGTCCATAATGCTGCAAAACCAGACTTTAGTCTTCAAACTTCTGGAGTTAAACGGTGATGATATAGTTTATGATAGAAAAAACAGGAGTCAATCTAAAGTTCAACCTAAGACATGGCCATAAAAGTATCTGATGATAGCTGTTTGCGCCCACCAAATTAGGAGATAAGAAGATTGAAATGTAATGTAAAACTGACAAATCTACATAGTATACTTGAAGTTTGGGAAAAAAAATTATTTCCTTGATTGATCAACAGTGAAGAACTTACGATAGTCTGTTAACAGTGGGCCAGAGGTGCCAGACCTAGCTCCCATGGTTGACAGCCAGAAAGTTGTAAAACGATGAACTTTGGGAAAGTATTCCGATAATTTTGGTCTTTCTTGTCTCCTACCAAAAATGGAATTGAAAGACTATGGCTAATGTAGAGAAAACTGAAAATGAGAAATTGAAGAAAGACGAAGTGATAGAAACGTGAAAGAGCATTTCCCCGATTTGAGGAATAATGTTGTTTTCGAAGAAATACGAATGCAATTGTTCCGGTGGGTGACACCATGTGTGGATGAAAGTTCGTGGCTGTGAGAGGAATTGAAATTTGTAAAATATCATTCTGATAATTGCAAATTACAAAGAATGTTAGAAGTTTTGGAGAGGAAAAGCTGATTATGTTTCATACAAAAGGTTTCAAACACACGAATTATGGGAACGTTTCTGATGATTTGAGATGACTAAGATACAGAATGATGTCATAGACCTTAGAACAACAAGCAGCTAACGTCTCTAAGATGGCTTAGAAGACAACAGAAGCACAGTGACAATCATGTTTAGTGTTAGATTGTTAATGAATATCAACTAATCTTAAAGCTTAAACTGTTCCTACATTGGGTACAGAGAGAGAAGGAGAGAGAGAGAGAGAGAAAGAGAGAGAGAAGAAGAAGAAGGAAGAGAGAAATGATTATCAGCTGTACTCACCTGATGAACAAATTGCACATGAGATTAGAGTCTCACTTTGTACAGGTTTCATTCATTTCACTCATACACACGCGGTCTTTTTTATACAAAAGCTTTCGTTATCGGCTTTGGGTACCTTTCTCATTCGTCTTCTTCGCTTTCGTTGTCTAACTAGTACCTGTGAAAGATATTTGAATGAAAATACAAAGACAGTTACACAAACCAATTGTTATCTAGACCATGGGCGTTTCATGCTAGCTAGCAGTAAGTATATTCTTTCTTTTCCAAACGATTCAAAGTAATTCATTATAAATTCTTCTTTTTCTCTTTCTCTCTCATCTATTCTAGTCCAACGAAGCAGTGACCATTTGAGTGATAACACTGATTCTGCATAATCGTTGAGTAAATATGAGAAAAAACATACGTGATAGCAAACATGAATTCACAAAGTAATGAGGAATTGAGTGAAGAAACTGTTCTTATCGCTTTCTCCTTACCTCCTCCTCCTCCTCTCCTGCAAACCGGTTTTCACATTCCTCAAACGTTTTCCTAATTTATGCTAGTTCAAACGATTTCATTCACAATAAGATAGTTTTATTTATGCTTTGGGATTGAACTTTAGAAATGAATTTCTTGATTACAGGCTTCTTCTATGAGCTTGGAGTTACTGATTCGTCTTGTAGATAATAGCTCCAATAGAACACATTAAAGGCAAAGAAACACTGCAAATAAGAAAAAAATAAATTTCGAACAGCCAGTTGTTTCCCACCAATGGAAATGCGAAAAAGGACAAACGATCAACTTTACTTCCAAAATCCAATAAACTATTTTTTCTTCTCAAATACATTCGTTGACGATGTTCTGCAAGCTCATCTTCCATCAGAGTGTTTTCTTCCAAAAACGATTTCTTCGGGGAGGCGCGGTCCTTCAAAAGTAACATGTTAATGCTTTGAATATTAATCTACACCTCTACAACTTCATTGGCAACGTGAGAAGAATCAGCTAATGGATCAAACGTTCTCAGAAAATGTAAGACAGCATTGAATGTTGGATTCCATTTACTTGTTTTCAATATAAGTTTTTTGTCCTAAACATAATATTTTAATTATAAATAACAAAGAGCAAACTTTAAACTTCTCGTTCGATTAAACAATTCAAAACAACTTCCGAAAAATATTTTTTGAATGAAAATGATAGTTCAACTCAATATTGATAAGAAAAGATAATAGATGTGCTTTAAGCTTTTGTCATCAATCTAGCATCATTTTTGAAATCTCATGGAGTCTGTCATTAAGTGTGCTCTATCGCACTTTACTCATTTACAGTTGTGCATGCGCGCAGACCGGTTGCTCCAAAAACAACGCTAATCAAGTTAACGTATGTAAGCCCGTGTGTTGTGTTTTTGAATTTTCGAATGTTTATATATTGAGTTTAAAAATGGATCTCGCCTGATATGCAACGTATGCTAGTTCCACTAATGAAGCGAAAATGAACGCCACACATGTAAACATCCAAATATCGATGGCTTTGATGTATGAAACCGGTGGTAGTGAGCGAATAATGTTTCCAAACTTCAGTATGCGTATTAATATTCGAATTTGCATCTCTATCTTACTTGGAAGGTTAAGGACATCAAGGAGTTCACTCCTAACACTATTCTTGCAGGCAAAGCCTTTGTATCAATACAGAAAGCTATCCATGATATGAAAACTGAAATGTAGGTTGGGAAATACATCTGAAATACTTATGTTTATTAGGTTGCCCCCTAGTTCAACCTGGAGAATGTAGAAACCATAACGTCTTTTGAAACGGAACTCCACTGTTAGTCTATACCATTGTCCCGCTTTGTATTCCTAAATTTCAGAATATGTTATGCAGCCGGTTCACTTGCACAAACTTCTGTGTGCTTGAAAGTCTGCAGGGACATCAAGTCAAAGTCAGGTAGAGATAACTCATCAAGAACAGTTACAGGCGTGGGCATCCAATCTACAGAGACTGTGGCAGTGTTGTAGGAGTAACTTTCGAACACATGAAAGGTTTGTGCATTAGTCTTCAGTTTAATTTCGGAATGTTACTAGAGAGCAGACTTGCTGATCGATTGGAAAGCGTGCTAAATTCATGGCACACGGCGATTGAACTTTTACGCGGTAATTCAACCACACAGTTCCATTTGGCAAGATCATAAGAAGCACGTTAGGTTTTGGAGACATATGTACTTCAGTTGACTTCGTATTGACTATGCATACGTTAGGTGACCAAAGCATCTGAAACACTCGTGTGAATCAGTGCTGATATTGAAAGGAAGTACGTTTTCAAATTTATCATCGAATGATAAGTTTTTACGACAATGGTCTAGGTGTGAAAAAGCTAGACGAGGATCATGCCAAATAGCACTGAAGATGAAAGTTGTGTTTGAAAATGATAATTTGTTCTACCTGAACCAAATATCGGCTGAGAAACTGTTACTCAGAACAGATAACTCCATGACATCTTGAACAGTGACTTCTACTTGCACCGGCACTGGCCAGGGCTCCGGAATCTCAGATCTTAAAGGCATCACAATTTGGGAACGACGTTGTCTGCTTAAAACCTGCTATAATTAGCCATTAGGCGTTCCACAATTTCTTCTGGATGAATATTTCCGCAGTGAAGACTTGCAGTGCTCCATAGTAGGTTGCATACGTTGAGTATAAAAAACAGACGTTCCATACATGAAAGCTAAAATGAGTTTTTAGACAAAAAACGCAAGCACGATTCGTCGAAAGCAACCACGGAAACGGAAACGGATGTATTACTAAAGCTTAAGTTGCATTTCATAGAAAATAGAATATGAAACGTGAAGAAAGCCCGAATAGAGTTTACATTGGAATGAAAAACGTGAGTTTCTAACTGCTATGTTTCTCTTGGCAAACAATAGCTTCTAGTTTAATTTCAGTTATTATTAAAAAAACGGAAGAATAATATCAAAAGTGGGTAAGAGTAGCTGCTTGAGATTGAAGTTGTGTTCAAGACAGATGGAGTTTTGCATTGGACTTCCTGCTCCTTCGACATTGTAACTCAATTGGCGCGTCCTTTTGACTTCTCTCATTATGCAGCTGAAAGTGCTTGCAGCCTCCACACCACTCAATCCAGAATATCTGAGTGCCTGAACCTGATGACGAAACCAATTGACTAGAAGAATATACTACAACGTGCCAAAATAATACCGAGCAAACACATGCTCAACAATGTGCACAAGTCAATGAGCAGATTCAACCATAAGAGCGATTGCTGAAAACAGACTATGAAATCCAATTGAGGTAGGTAGCAATTGCATTATCATGTTTCTTAAAGGAACAGCTCGATTGTCCATACATAATCTCAGATGGAACGAGAATTATTGAACGTGAGCTTCTAATAACATGAGAACAAAGAACTGAAAGGTATGGCAATGGAATTGAAATTTATTTTAACGAATCGATTTTACTTGTGTTATTTGTCAGACAAGGTGGCACTTAATCCTTACCTAAAAGGAAAGACCTACTCACACACTGGCTCAGCTCTATTTTGACGAAAGAGTCTGTTTTCATTTTCAGAAAGTTTTCGTTTCTTTGTTCTATCTCTTTCTTTGTTCATTCTTTTTACTCCAGACGTCTGAGAAGAAAAAGAAGAACTGAAAGATTGATAGAACTGGAGAGCGCTTCGAAAAAATTTATGCAAAGTTGATGAACATTTGATCAACACGACAAAACATTTCGTTAAGAAAAACATTTTATTTTGAAAAAAATAACCAGAATAGAGGCAACTTAGCTTTCAAAGCCTGCAGAACAGTTTCTTTCCTTGAACATGAGGTAGAAACATATGTGAATACAAAGAGTGATGAGATTGCTGTGTCCGAACAGCAGTTATTGAGCTTTATCATCGTTATTCCAAACAAAAATGGAACAGCAATGAGAAGATCGATCTCTTATGTTTTACTGGATTTCTTGCTCTCAATATCTGGAGAACACTGCCCTTATCTACATCACTTTTTCGGTAAATATTCTAATTTTCAATTTATTTTCAGCTCCTGATATCAAAGTTTTTTCCCAATCGTAAATTACCATTGCATATAGGCTGTAATAAATATCTAAAAATACATTTCCGAGACTGAAAATCTAACTAACTCTATCTGAAACCTTGGTCTTGGAAATAACCCAGGTGCTTCTCAGAAAATAGTTGGAACAATCTTTTATTGGAATCGGACACACCTCATCTGCCCCTCTGAACAGTTTGAGATAGAATGCAACCGTTCTGGACGGATTTGAGATGGAATGCAACCGTTCTGGACGGTTTTAGAGAGAATGCAACCGTTTTGGACGGATTTGAGAAG